CCTCTAACCTTTGGTACTTATATAACCTTATTGTGGTGCAAGTGCCGTAAAATCTTACTAAAACAAACAAAATTACTTCTCTCAGCCTCATGTCCGTTGCTCTCTTCAAAATGTCACCGAGGGTCTTTCCACCAATTGTGTCAGTGGTTGAATGGTTGAATGTTCTTCTGTTCTGTCCTGCAAGGATGCCAGATTTGCTTACTTTTTTCATTCCCAAAAGCATCATCCTCTCCACAGTAGTACTGACCACTGCCTCCCTATCTTCCTCTTCAATCAGCTGTCGAGAGAGACATTTCAGGATCTCGACCCTATCTGGTTGAACCATGCTGTCAACTGAGGTGGCCTCACCAGTCTCTCTGTCTGCTTTTTCATTTCCCTTAACGCCTGCATGGCCAGGGCAGAAAATCCTTGTGGGCGTTCGTATAGGCGTTGCTTTGATTCAATTTGATCAGTTGAATCCATTCTGTTCTCAGGAAAACTTTTTCGATCCTTCAGAGGGTACACATGGAACCAGTGATGAGAACATCGTTGGTTGTGTGCGGGCGATCTTGGGTCATCCATTCTTCAAGTGCTTTCGTGATGGCTTCAATTTCCATTTGCTTACTTGATGTAGCCCTGCTGCAGGCTCCAGATGCACTGTGGATTATTTTATTGTTGGCGACTGCAAAAAATCCCCATCCACTTCACTGCTATCTCTTTTCACTGAGCCATCAGTATAAATTACAGGATCCCCTGCTTTTGAGTTTTTGTCAACAATCCCGTTGATATAACTCTCGTTGATGGAAGCAGCAACATTTCTTCTGTCTCAGCCCATGCTTATTTTGACTTTGGTGAGGTCTCTGTATTCTCCGGTCACCTGTTTCCTTTCTTCGCCAAGTGGTAGACTCTCAGGTACACATATTTTTCTGAGGAAATCCTCTGCTTCCACCTTCCAAGATTTTCCTCTTTTGATTCTGCCTCTCTTGTTGTCATGAAGTGCCCTGTAAAGTGGATGATCTGTCTTGCTCATTACACTGAGATACATCTTTGCTTGAGCTATCCTATGGCGTACTCTGATGCCACTTAAACTTAGCAAGTAGCGCATGCACAATATTGGAGTGTCCTTCGTGCAGCCCAGCACTGCTGCTGCTCTCATTGCCTCATCCTGCACTCGATCCAGCTTTGCGATCTGTATGTCGGACAGCGTGAGACAGCCCAATCCGTAATCAATGACAGACAGGAAGACCAGCTGCAACTTCAGGAAGAGCACTCTTTGTGGGATCGGAGTGGCCGCCATGGTCTTGATTGCACCCACACCTCGTTTGGCCTTTGTAACCACATGATTCACATGCTTGTTGAAGGACAACGACCTGTCGAAGAAGATTCCCAGATACTTCAGCTCTCCCTGTCTGTCGAAAATCTCATAGTTGTAAGTGGTTGGTCGAGTTATATCTTGGACAATCCTGTTGTTGAGGGAACACCAAAGTACCTGTGCCTTTGAAGGATTGATAACTGCTTCATTTTGGTTGCACCATTTAACAACTGAGTGAAGTCTTTTCTCCGTATTCCTTGCCACCCGAAGTCAGTCATCTCCGTGCTCGTATGCCTTTATGTAATCCGCAAAGTTCAAGACACGTCCAGATTCCTTCTGATGCATCGTTACCTGTGCAGTTTACACATCGAAAAGAAAGCACAATAGAGAGGGCGGATCCTTGGGGCAATTCCGGAGCAATTGGGGCCGGATCTGAAGTCCATTCTCCCTGTCTCAGAGCCATTTTCTCTCCACTAGGACTACTGCTACCCATCTCACCAGCCATATGTCCACATCAAATTCCAGGAGGCGGTCGATCAAACGTTCATACTTGACTCGGTTGTAAGCATCCTCACGTCCAAGCCAAAGTAAGTTGCCTTTGAAATGTCTCATTCAGCCACTCAGTCTAAAAAAAGATAATTATATATGATGTGGCGTTGGTGATGTAGTGTTTAAGCTTTTGGGTTTGCAACCGAAAGGTCGTGGATTTGAAACCGTTATGCGGGAATGGGGGGGGGGGGGGGGCACAACTGGCAGGTCCTACTTTTCTAATTTCCCCCTAACCCTTTTTTACTAGCACTAAATGACCATTATTCTATCCATGTGCTTCTCTTTACTCAAAAGAACAAACAAAAGAACCATCAGGAGCCCGACGCTGTTTCCGTAGGAAAGGCGTTTTCGAATTATCTTTTCTCCAACCATATGGGAATGATACCCGGGTAGATTTCTAATATTAGATTGTATATATATATATATATATATATATATATATATATATATATATATATAATTATAGCTCCTAGAGCTTGATGGTGAGCAGGGTTCAACTTTGGGTGCTTCAGTGGGGTATGTTCAAGAAGCATGAAAAAAAAAATTGACTCTGTTGCAAATAAAATGATGTAAAACCAAAGCATAATTTATTTAGGTCGCAGTTTAACTCCACTTCAACGTGGTGGGCACAGGGAAACAAATGCACAGCAGACCGTCAAGAATAGCAAATATCAGTTATTTCAAAAGGATGCATTTGGCGAACTGAAATGCAACGTGAAAAATCAATTACCACAGCTACAGGGAGCTCTGATGTGATTTGCTCCTTCTTTCTTATCAAACATCTATCGTCTTCATCTTTCCTCCTTCCCTTTTGTGTGTGTTACTCTTTTGTAACGCATCTATTCTTCGGCAATGACCTTATTGTGTTGCACGTGCCATAAAACTCTTACTAAAACTAAACCCGTTTTGCTGCTCCGATGGGAACTTTGAGGTCACTGGTCCTATAGGGACCCACCGTTTACTGGTCCGAAAGGAATTCTCAGTGTTTAGTTATCTCAGTCCTGGGACTACCGGGTGGTGTCTGTGGTGTAGTGGTTAAGCACTTCGCCGTTGCATGCAGGAGATCCGAGTTTGATTCCCGAGTGGGGAAACCTTTTTTATCAAGTAGCAAGATATCTCGGTCTTCTGGCTGGGAAGATTGGCCATGACAGGCAGGGTCGAATCCCGCCCCCTAAATCATCTAAATTGTGGCGAAAGGGGAGTAAAAACACTTTATACTGGGACGCCTGGCAGGATCGAAGAAACAAACTCTCTAAATGATCGTTTCTACCTCATACATACATGAGTGCACATATGTTTTAAAGGAACATTAAATTAGAAAAGAAGATCTATTCGTGAAATTGCACATGACCAAAAAAATAAAAAATAAAAAATCAATAACATGTAGCAAGAATCGATCCTATAACTGGTCTTTATTTACATGTTCGAAGCCTGGGGTGGCCTAGATAATTGCGACATCTAGTATTACCCCCCAAAAACAAACAAACAAACTAGCAAGCAAGCAAACAAACAAACCAAACAAAACAACAAAACCAAAATCTAATAAACAACAAAAAGCAAAAACAACCTCCCCCCCCCCAAACAAACCAAGTTGCTTTTGCACGTAGGCGAAAGAAAAGACAAATTGTGCCTCTCAAGTCAAACTCACGCCAAGCACAGCATCAACACACCTGTTTCAGACTAACCCATGTCAAACATAATGTCCAGCCCAATCGGGTAAACGACCATAAACGTCTTTCAACTGTTGGCATAATAAATTTACAACCTACTGGTCTAGATGTGAGCAAACCCGAAATATCTACTGTGCCGATTTCTTACCTACAATGATCTGGCAAGCCCACAACAGCCTCATATCCATGTTATCCAAAAATGATAACAACAACAACAACAACAAGAACAACAACAACAATAATAATAATAATAATAATAATAATAATAATAACAATAACAATAACAATAGTAAAATAGTAATAATAATAGTGATAATAATAATTTAAAAAAAAATACATTTGTAATAATTATAATAATAACGATAATGATGATGATAATGATATAATGAAATAATGATAAATAATTATGGTAATAAAAATAATAACGATAATAATAATAATAATAATAATAATAATAATAATAATAATAATAATAATAATAATAATAACAATAGCAATAATAATAGTGATAATAATAATTTTAAAATAATAATACTACATTTGTAATAGATCTAATTATAATAATAACGATAATGATGATGATAATGATATAATGAAATAATAATAAATAATAATGGTAATAAAAATACTAACGATAATAATAATAATAATAATAATAATAATAATAATAATAATAATAATAATAATAATAATGATGATGATGATAATAATAATGATAATAATAATAATAATAATAATAATGATAACATGGGCACCATATGGATTCATCAGTGCCACTCTGCACTGGAGACTGATAAAAATAAAGAGAACTTCTTAAACTTATTATAAATGCCCGTCTCTACAAGATTCTAGCCCATGTACTGAAGAAGGCATATCGACGCCTTTGTTCCTGCCAATCTCAGGCAATCCACACAAATGACACAAATGATATAAAGAGAATCATAAGCACTCAGTTAACTTAGTTGGTATTATGCAAGTTAATGTTGCGAATGGCCCTAGTTCAAATCCCTAATAGCATCATTGTCTGATGGATTTTCAAGGCTCGTCTTCTTGATTGAGTGAATCACTTGCCCTCCCCCACCCCTCTTTCTCTCCCTCCCCTCCACCCTCCTAAAAAAGCACCACTCCCCCAGTTATTTAAATACTTCCAGTCTTTCCTTTTATCTCTTGTCCCTGATTCCCTTCTAATTTCAAAGAAAACATAAACTTACGAAATCCATCGCATTGAAAAGACAGGCAAGACCGTCTAGTTAAGACAAAACTCCACTTCGATCGGAGGAGATGCAGGTTTTAGTTATAATTGTCTCAGTGTCGTTTTATGTTGTTGTGTTGCAAATTGAATACGTTTGTAGTTCGTCCAGTTACCTGTTTAGGTCATGACGATCAGGTTTTCTGGATTTTGTGTCCGTCATTGTTACAATAGGCTATTTTTACATGTATTAATAGTATGGGCCAAGGGTAAATTGGTTTAAAGTTTATACATCTATAGATTTGAACTCAGGAGACGACTCCTTAGATTTAGAGTACAATTTTATTTTCATTCTCGGCATACTCCCACGTTGCATCCAACCTTTCACCTCATTTCTCTCTACTCCTACCCGCTCGTCCTCTCCGCCAGTTACCCTAACCCTGAATTGGAGATCTGTTGAATCTTGTTGAAAACGGCGATGTGAAGGGTGAAGATGCGAAGAATCCTGCCCATGTCATCCATGACGTTGTCGTCCATAGACTCCGGGCTGTCGTTGAGAGTGTGCCAAGTTGGCGGGAACGGGGAGGTTATCAGGTGCACGATTCTCGACAAGCCTGCGGGGAAAAAAGAGAAAGAATAAAAAGAAAGACTGTTGGAGACAGTTAAGCCTCAGTTCGTCGATCTGGTTTTGAGCAGGCGCCCCCCCCCTCCCTATTTTTTTTGGTCAATTGTCACTTAAGAGATCACAATGCAGCAGTACCGATAAGACGAAGTTTAAATTCACCGAAAGAAATATTTTGAGACCATACAATAATTTAATGCGCAGAGAACACAAACACACAGACACATGCACACACATACACACTCACACACACACACACACACACACACACACACACACACACACACACACACATATTCACTCAACTTACAGCTACCAGTGGAAGTGGTAAG